ACTAACTCAAAGAATTCATGTTTTACTGCGACTACGCTTGTTTGCAGTATTGTTCATAAAAGACATGGTTGAAACCCTTGTTTATCTAATAACAAGTAATTTACGCATAGAACATATGTATTTCTTTCTCGGTCATATAGAATTTCATTTGTTTTAACCATATGACGTCATAGGACATTGTTCACATGCGACAGTGTAAGTTGTTTAAAAGATAAACTAGGCAACAATTGTATTTTAGTAAAAGTTGCTTGCTGTATTTGAAAGTTTGAATTTCTGCGTTGTATAGTTTCTTTGTCATTTGGCATGCAGATATTATAAAGATATTCATCAGAGACGTTATCATCAGTTATACTACAGTAACAGTTTCTAATTTGAAGACATCCACTTCTCCACTACGTCAGCCATCCAGAATATCAAATTTGGATCTCTTGTAGCTTCAACCATTCTGCTTCCAATCATTGATATTTTCCCGTCTTTTACGATGAAAACATCTTCTAGGTAACAGTCATAGGTTCCAGCAAATGTATGTTTCATATCATCGCTGACGACGCGGATCTGTGGAGATTAATTGAATTACATAATGAAAGGTTATTATGAATGACACAAATTATGTTAATCCAGCTGGGTTTTTCTCGACCATGTATCAGTCTATTGTATACGCGCGGATTTCAACCAAAAACTAATCAGGTCTGTACAATATCCCAGAGCATATACGTAGGTACCATGTTTCATTGGTTGTCAATGATAAAATTCGGTTGGAAATAAAATAAAATAAATACAATAATTCAATTTACCTTATCAGCACAATCAATGTCCGTAGTAGCGATGTCTTCGGTTTCTGTATTGATAGCATCCACCAATAGCTTTGCAGCGTCTATCTTCTCAACAATGGTTTTGTGCTGAGGTGTTGTACTTTGGTTTTCACCTAAAGTTATCCCGTCTGATGGGTGAGCCTCTAGCTGGTACACAATCATAAACTCTGCCTTCTCCTTATAAGTATCATAAAGCGACGCGAGTCGACCCTGCTGAACAAACAGCTTTACAAATTGTTCAAAAATTAATTAGTATAAATAGAAGTTGAAATGAAATTACAAAACTGGAATACATATATAAATGAGGACACATTAGTTGTAGAA